CTCGCTCAAGAGTTTGAGCTCTGAGCAACAGCGGTTCGAGTCAGCCCGAGCTGAGCAGCCGTGAGCTGCCAACAGGTGGCGGGATGGCTCAGCTAAAACAAAACAAAACAAAACAAAACAAAACAAAACAAAACAAAACAAAAAAAATATGGAAGGATCATAAGATCGATTTACTATTACATAGGGAATATTACTATCCAGGAAAATGAATAAAAGAAATCTGATCATGTAAAACGGGTTTTAAAATTTGGGGGCCAATACACTTAGTCTCATTTCACTATACAGTCTCCCCATTTCAGTCTGACCTGAAATAAGCCCATGGATATCCTGATAGACTCGATCCAACACACACACTGAAGACACTGCACAGATTTGCAATAGTACGTGTTACCACTCAGAGATAACTACGGTTATCACAAAAATCAGATCATGTACATCAATAATTCCAACAGTGAGTGTGAGTTTTCATCGCGAAGGTAGGCACTACCTGATTGTATGATAATGTTACTCTTCTTTTAGAGCGTATTTATATAAGCATAGAGTGGTTCTGACTCACTGCATCATATCCAGGAATGTACATTTCAGTGTTGTCAAAGAAATTTTCAGAACATGCACCATTAATTAGCTTGGCAACCCTTTAACCCAATAATTTTTCAGTTAGGTCAAACAAGATACTTGGGAAACAGTACAGGCAACTTATCCTGCAAAAATAGTCAAAATTACACTTTCATGAATTATTTTGTGACTAGCCTAAGAGAAGTGACTCTAAACCCACTTCTAAGACATTTAAAATCCCCAGCGACCAAGCATGATGGGGAAGAAGTTCATCATGGACCTTTAGGTTTCCCAAGTAGTCCAAGCTCTTGTTTCATCACTGGCAGCATTAATATGGATGTCAACTCTGGAGTGATGGGTTGAGAAGGACCATGAGGCTATGTTAGGGTTTTTCAGGAAAGCAGCCATGATGTGTAAGTGATGTCTCAAATGGGACCAAGTATTTGCTAAAAGGGAATTAATAGTCGTCCAGACAAGGGACTTACAAACAGAAATGTACCAATCTTCTAAAGGCAACTCCACTCACCAATTAGTACTGACGTAATATTGACATCCAAACGGGTCTTAGCCTTGGCTTCCAGCTTCAGTCGAGGAGGATGGAAACGACTAGCCGCCTGTTGTTGCCAGGATACAGAGCATGGCCATGGCTCAATAAATGGCTCCCAGCCTAAAAGAACACAGGAAATAAGACATCTGTTCGGCAGATATCAAGAGTCTATGCAGGAACACTTCACAAATGCTCAACAAGGACAAACTACAGCTTAACAGCTTTCTATTTGTGATTTGATTTCACAATGAGAGCACCATCTTTAGTTATAGGTAACCCTACAGGTGCCTGCACTAGCTAGAGAATACGAGTAGAAAAGCATATATGTGTCCCCCAACCGTGGTCTTCCAGAGGTGAGAGGAAGAAGGGCAGGGAGTTTATGTGCAGGCAGAACCTGTTTTTGAAACACTCAAAATGAAAAAGGAGTTTCAGGCTGAGGTTGGAAAGTAGCGTCAGAGGCTGGAGTAACTATGAAATTTGGTTCTCCTGCTTACATCAAGAATCCATTGGCTAAATAAAGAGGTATGCTTGGAAATTAAGTTTTTGAACTTTTTAACTTAAAATGTCATGCACGAAAGGCATATAAAAAACATATATGTAGAGTTCGTAGAATAAAATTACTGCAAACACTCATGTACCCACTATTTAGCTTAAGCACTAGAAAATTACAAGTGCCTTTGAAGCCCAAGCGCCCCTCCTCCACCTCATTCCCCCCTTCCCACCAACCCTCTCCCATCCAACTCCCGGTAACCATTAGCTGGAATCTTTAATCATTTCCTTGCTCTTCTTTCTAGTTTTACCACATATGCATGCATTTCTTAAGAACATAGTGATTCGTTCGTCCTGTTGGGGATCTTTACATAATGGAATCCAACTGCCTGTATTCTTTTGCAAGTTTCTATTTTGCTCAACGTGTCTTTGCGATTCACTCATACTGATGCCATGTAGCTGTGACACATTTGTCTTCAACCCTGAATAGTAACCCACTTAGGATATACCATAATCCACCCACATTCTACTGCTGAGCAACAGTCCCTGGATTCGTTTTATTGCTAGTAGGAAGGATGCCACTCTAAGCCGAGTTGTGCTCATTTATTTCCTCGTACACACAGGCAAGAGGTTCTCCACAGCACAGGCGTAGAAAAAGCATAATCCTGGGTTGTGAGTACAGGTACACTCAGCTTCACTGGGCCACGTCAAACTGTTTTCCAAAGTGATTGTACCAGTTAACAATTCTAATAACAGGAAGTAAGAGTTCCATGGCTCCTCTTCACCAGTACTTGGTGGTGTCACGCCTAATTTTTGCCAGTCTGTTAGGTGAGAAAAATGGTATCTCACCACGATACTTTTCAAGGCCAGTTAATTTTGAACCTTTTTCTAAATGTACTCCATTAGCCATGGCTCAGGTGGTTTACCAATACAGATCCAATCCAATATGTAGCACAAAGTAGGGACATCAACACTTAGTGACCTGAATGTGTACATACAAATTTCAAGGTAAGCAATATTTGCTTTGAGAAAATAAATGATTCTCAGAAAAACAGCTACCATATGCCCTGGAAGAGTCTCTTGCGACCACCGAGACTTGGGCCCTTGTCCTAAAGTTAAACTTTTTGAACAATTAGGAAATAAGATTGAGTGAATCCAGAACAGAAAGGGAAAAGGTTAACCAATATAAAATTAAATGTGGCAACTACTCTGGAACAACTAGCAGCAGCATGACACTGAGGCTGGATTTTCCACTGAAATCAAAGGGAGCAATTCTTCTTGGGTAGAAGCTTAGATGGCACAGCACAGCTCTGTTTCCTCTGTCCACACCTACTAAAAACTCTCTGAAGGTAAAGACCTTCACAGCTCAAACTGCTCGGCCCTGGTACACAGCAGTTCCTGAACGCCAATCTGTACAGGCCCTGACCTTGGCCTTTCCAAGGGCAGGAAAGAACCTGAAAATGCCTTGCAGTATAATGAGGTTCTATGCCTCCGAGAGAATAGCTAGCTCTGACCACCTGTGTTTTACATTAGGGAGCAGGTACGGTAGATTATGCTTTATCAGTGACTCAGTACTCTTCTAATGAAACAAACGAGTCTAGTTGGGAGTGAGGAAGCCTGAAATGTAAAATGATTATGGGCATAAATCTCCCTTGAAATGTAACTACTATCAGGGCCAGCCAAATAATCCTTCACTATTGAGCAATTTCATGTTCTAAAATGAGCCCAACTTCAGGATCAAAAGGAATTAACTATCAAAACTTCTATTTAAATAATTCAGTTGTAACATATTAGCTATGTTTTTAGAAAAATTTGTATCTTTTGTGCTTACGTAGTCACTTGTTTTTAATCTTTTCCTGTTCTGCCCTACCCCTTTTCCCTCATGCAAAATTTATACAGAAATAGGCCCAGGCAAAGATTTGTGTTATTTTTTAAATCCCACTATCATTTATGCTTAAACTGACCTGACAGAGCACGGTTATAATAATCTCCAGAAAGGGTGAAGTGGGCGTAGCCCTCAGGGCTGGTTCTCACATGCTGAAGAAAGTTCAGACCTGAAATGAAAGCAAATCTTACTGCAGCACTGGAGCGGGAACAACCAAAACTTTCTTTTGCAGACAAATCCCATCAAAGACATGTTAGTTACAGCTAACACTGATGAGCCCAAGAAAGCACACAAAGATTTGATATTTGGTTCATTACGAATTTTTTTTGCATAAATTTTGACTTCTAAAAACACTGCATTAAAATATTATTCATCTTTATTACTGAGGGTTTTGGCACCCCTGTAAACGCTGTGACTGAGGCAAACACCTTATTTGCCTCCCCCCAGTCGCAGCCCCGGCACCCAGGTGTAGCTGAAGCCTGTGGGAACATGAAAAACAATTTCTACCTGAATAACTGAAAAGAAGGAAGAGTGGTTAAGAGTCGTCATGTCCTGATGAATATTAGCTCAAAATTTTATGATGACCATAGAAAAGAAGAAATAATGATGCTCTGCAGAAAGGATACTCGTGGAAACAGTCCACGTACCAGTTAAGTCTTAATCACGTGGCCCTTGGGGTGCCCAGAAGCACAGGGAAAAGGAAAACCTCTACAATGTGAAATAGGTCGAATTAAATTCTCAGAACCAAATTTTCCTTGAAGGGAAAAGAGGCTAGCAAGATCAAAGCCATGGAAAATTAAAAGGAGACACTGCGGGGGAGGTTCCTTTACTCTCCTCAGAAGCCTCATCCACCACCACTTATAGTGGTGTGACTTAGGTTAAAGCACTTCTACTCTCGTCCCCACTCTACTGTGGACAGCTCTCAGGTGGACAGTGCTTCACCTCCTCCCTGGCTCTCAGACGAACAGGGCTTCACCTCCTCCCTGGCCCTAAGGAGGGAACTCTGAGGTGGGCTTTCTAATAAGACTGTGTTTTTTATTTTCAAAAGATGTACAGGGTAGAAGCATTCTTTTCTGAGCTTATCTTTTAAATGCCTTTAATAACACTACAATCACTACAATCTTTATATACGTTAAAAAACCAAAATGGAACAATCAGGAATTATTTAGCTAGAGCTATTAATGTAACAGAAATTTTGTCAATGACAATTTCAATTATTCCCAAGCTGTAGGCTGAAGGCCACATATGGCCAATAAATACACATTTCTTTAAAATACAGATAATGAAACACATATGTAAAACCACTATCTAAATGTCACCCATACTACTAAGTAGAGGAGGGCATGAATAACATTAAAAAAAAAAAAAAAAGCCCCAAATAATTCAGCGATCGCCGAAAACCTTCTAGATCAGGGGTTGGCAAACTGCCCAGCTCATGAACCACATACGGCTCTTTGGGTACGTACAGGTGGCTCTGAAGTAAAACTGAAAATGAAAATAAAACTATCATAGTTTCATTTATAAAATTTTTAAAGGATATTATTCACATAATGGTGATTTCATTTGTTTTATGGCTCTTGAATAATTTTTAAATTGTTGTGAGAGACAGGATTGGCTCTTCCGTCTCAAAAGTTTACCGACCCCTGTTCTAGGTGAACCTGAAAATCAGGCGAACACTCACGGGAGAAGGTGAGCTCAGCGAGAGGAATGTCGCAGTCCATGCAGTCATCGATGAAGCAGATGCACACACTCTCGGCTTTAATCTCCACGCCTGAGATCAGCTGTGCTGGCACCATCCCCTGGCTCTCTTGGCTGTTGGAGGCCAGGGAAAGGGACTTCAGAGGTTCAGCATTCTTAAACAACCAACTGGCCGCCTTTTTCAATTGGCCTTCAAAGAAATTAAAAGGTGATCAGTCCAACCAGTTCCCACAGTTACGCAAGTGACTCATGGAGGAAATAGAGAAATAAAGAGTAAGGGACCTACTGGACAGCCCAAGAAAATCCTGATCCCAGATGTATTCTTAGACAGCAAAAAGAAAAGACAGCGTAGTAACAGGAATTCTGCTTTTAAGCAATTAGAACAAGGTCCTCTTTGTTGCACGCCTTCCACTCGTGTTTACCACACCTTTCATGTTCTGGCTCAAAATGCCCCCAGAAAGCCATCCTTCCTCTCCTATGATATCTGTTGAAGGAGATGATCCAAACAGGTGCCACTTGGAACTTAAATACTATATCTTCACTGTGTCATTTTGCATATACTGATGTGGAGCTTTGTAACTGGTCTCAAATGTCTCATTTTGTGCATACGTACTTTGTTTTCTCAGCCAATCACGCATTCCTTGAGAACAGACAGCAATGAGCACTGCATGTGTGTAATACACAATAACAGCTCCCTGAACACAACCAGATTGCTAAAGCTAAAGAAGGAAAGAAAAAACAGCAATGCAACCCCCATACTTAGAAATTACCGGAGGAACAAGTGCTAAGTGGTTAGGGCGTGGGCTCTAGAGCAAGGTGGCCTGGCTTTGTATGCTGGCACTCACTCAACTAGATGTGTGATCTTGGGCAAGTTACGTGATCTCTGTGCCGGACAGCACCCACTTACAGAGCTGACATGGGGAGGAAAAATGAGCACGTGTGAAGTTCTCAGAGCAGAGCTTGGCATACAATGAAGGCTCTAGAAACAAACATTAGTTACTATACTATTGTCTTTATTATTGATGGAATGAAACCTTAGTTACTAAAAAGAAATCCAAAAGGCTTGAACTGTTAAGGAGTCAAAAAATAGAAAATGCAAACATTAAGAGGTATAAAATTAATTAAACCAAAGAGCAATAATGAGTAGGTAAAAACAAAATTAAAATAACATAATATAATTAGGACCACCTTCTGTTTTTCGGAAGGAAAAAGATGATAGTTAATGTGACAATTATGTGGTAAGGCCAACATTTTCACACATTAATTGGTCAAGACAGTAACCTGGTACAATCTTTTTAGAAGGTTTGTCAATTCACGTAAACAGCCAAAAAAATAAATCTATGCATACCCTTTGATCCAGTACTTAGAATACTATGTACAATAAGTCAGTCAGAGAAAGACAAATACCATATGATCTCACTTATACGTGGAATCTAAAAAACTGAATAAATGAGAAATGTAAACAGAAATAATCTCAGAGACACAGAGGAAAAACTGAGGGTTACTAGTTGGGAGCGGGGTGGGGGGCGGGATGAAGGAGAAGGGGAAGGGACGAGACAATATAAATTGGTAACTACAATACGGCCTCAGGGATAGAAAAGACAGTCTGCGGAATATAATCAATAATGTTGTAAATATTTTTAGGGGGCCAGATGGACTCATGTCTTGTTAGGGAGACCACTTCATAGATGGTGTAGAGGCCTGACCACCGCACTGTATATCTGAAGCTGATGTTGAATAATATTGTATGTCAACTACAACTACAATTATATATACATATAGTCACAGGACGTGGAGTACAGTGTGGGAATGGATTCAATGGAATTGTAACAGATAAGTATGATATCAGGGGGAGTGGGGGGGCAGTGGATGGGGGAGGGGGATTGTTACTTTGTACGGGGTGAAAAGGATAACTATTGCATTGTTCTGTACACTTGAAACTAATAATAAAAAATTAATTCATTAATTCATTAATTTAAAAAAAAATACTATGTACAATACTATTTTTACCAAATAAATACTTAACAGATGTAGACAAAAATTCATACCAAAACATGTTTATTATAGAATTGTGTATAATATTGAAAGAATGCAGAATAACTGAAAATGGTTAAGTAAATTATAATATATCCTTAAGAGGTCATTTAAAAAATCAATGTTTACAAAGAATTTTAATGACATGGGAAGATGCTGCTAATACTAAGTATGTCATAATTAAATTGTAATTTTCAATAAAATTGTATTTCAAAAAGGCTATAAAACTATTTGCAACACAATCAATATGGAAAATACTACATGTGTATGTGTATATATAGGTATGTGTGTCTATATATATATAGACGTATATATATATATACGTCTATATATATATATATATATTCTAGATTCGTGTATATATATATATATATATATATATATATATATATATATATATATTCTAGAGAAACAGAAAAAGAGGACGTACACACAAATATAAAGACTGAAATAAAACACAACTTCTGCTGTCTCTCTTTTTTTAAGCTAAAGGGGAACATGAAGGGAGGTGGGGAGGTAGTGTGATGCAGCAGAAAGAACGGAGACAGACCTGGCTTTAAACCCATCCTAGCCCCTCACCAACAGATGACCTTAGACAAGTTTACCCATCTGATCCAGTTTCCTCATCTGATACGGGGATGATAATGCCTACCTCCAAGGGCTATGAGGACTCAACAAGAAAACACAGGGTTAGGCCTACAGGAACTCAGTAAATAGCCATGACTACCAGGATCACCACCATTACCACCGCCAGAGTGACAGCGGCTAACATCTGCAAAGCACTTGATGTGTGCCAGGCACTTGACTGAAGCGCTTTGTGTATACTGACTGATGTATTTATATCAAACCTCCGAAGGAAGAAGGGAGTCCTCTTGTCCTCGTTTTACAGATAAAGAACCACTGGTTCAGAGAGACTCAGTAACTTGCCCAAGTCACTGGTAAGTAGCCAGTAAGTGGCAGAGGAAGGACCTGAAGCCAGGTAGTCAGCTCCAGGGCCCATGCTCTGATCCACCATGAAGTACTGCTGCTATTACTGGCCCGCAGAAGGCCATGGAGGGTTCTCAAAATACACTCCAACTCTCTAAGTCAGCTTGAGGGAGGAGTAAGGGAGGAAACGGAAAGGAAGTATATTATCAAGATAAAGAAGAGATCATGGCCGGCTGAGTGGCTCAGTTGGTTAAGAGCTCGCTCAAGAGTGTGAGCTCTGAGCAACAGCGGTTCAAGTCCCGGCCTGAGCTGAGCTGCCAACAGGTGGCAGGATGGCTCAGCTAAAAACAAAAAGAGATCATGGAAACACTTATTCAAATTACCTTGACACACCAAAAGGGCTTTGCGACAATCATCCATGCTGAAGCCCAGCTCCTGCAGTCTGGCCAGCTGTAACTCTAGAGGGAAAAATGGTATATGATTTTTATAAATAAATTTATGTAAATTAACCCTTAGACTAATTTAAGAAAAAAAGAAAAAAATTCAGAAACTGGTGACTAAAACATTTCATTTCTCCAGGCAAAACAGGCTCCTAGTGGAAGACTTTTATCAAGTATGCCCTGAAAATGTTAGGACTCTTTTTCCATATAACAACTGTGTTTTTAAAAGCTTAAAAATGAAACTTAGTATTATCCACATAACTTTGGAGGAAAACTCAAAGATTAAAACTAAACCTTAGCATTATCCATAAAATTCTGCAAGAAATTGTAAAAGGAAATATAGTATAGGCTAGAACAGTTGGTTTGGGGTGTTTCGCTTCTTCTTAAATTAAAAAAATTCGAGAGGAATACTTATGACTTATAAGTGTACTTAATGACATACAATTATACTCTGAACAATTTAATAGTGCAAAAGAAAATCTGGAAAGTTAAAAAGGGGAGTTATCAGGAAGACTGAGTGGGTTTTACAGTCGAACACCTACCTAGGACAGGATCTAAGGTATGCATTCTCCCTTCTTTGATTTCCTCTCCAACTCGAGCCGCACCAGGAAGGCAGCTGCCACCGGAACTGGCCTCCACGGCCACTGCGTCCGGCGCCGCAGCATTCGCTTGCTCTGGGATGGACTTTGCAATGGCGAGAAACAGCTGAACATCATTATAGGAGAGTCTGATATCCAGGGCTTGTAACTGAATCTATCAAAATTTAAAAGGCGGCAGTTTTTAAAGTTGCCTTTGGTTTTACATCCACACCTCCTACAGGTACAATTCCTAATTCAAGTTTTCAAAGTCCAACAGACACTACACTAAATTTCTCATTTTGAAGATTGGGAAGATCTTGAAATTAAGCACTAATAGCCATGAAGTAAAATTAAGATGTCTCAGCTATGAGGTCAAATGTTCACAAAACTATGCCAAATAAAAAATACTAAGCTAGGAAAATTACTAAAACTAGAATTTCAGTAGGATGACTTTCATACAAGTAATCACTAAAGCAGAGGGTCAAAGGTCGACTCCAAGGGAGACAGGCTCGCCTATTAGCAACATTTGTTAATCCATTTTGCTTTGATCTGTTTAATATTTTAAATCTCTGAAACAAGCTGACCAACCAACAAAATTCTCTCCTCTTTATTCAAACATAACTTTCAACGAGTCGAGTGCCACACTAAAATTTCCTAAAATCCAGTCTTCCTCAGAGATTAGCCATACAGACACCCACACCAGACTACTTTAAAAAATGGCATTACTGCTCAAATGTTCTGGGTATGGTGCTTTATTTATTTATTTAGTTAGTTTTAGTTTTTTTAAAGGCTGAAAACCAAAATGGCTTTTCTCTCCCTTTCCATCTCCTTTGGTTCAGCTGGACTGATTACTCACTCCCCCTCGACCAAAGAAATAAAACACCAAATTCCTAAGCCTTCCTTGCCTGGCTTCACCCTCCCTTGCATCTTCACCTTATAACCTCCTCACTTCCCTACATACCTGCTCATTCTAGGGAGCCCCTCCTCTGTCTCAGGTTTGCTGGGCCTGCCCGCCCAACTTACTGCTTCCTAGCACGCTCTCTGCCTATGTACATCCTAGAGCTCACTCAGCCTCACCCTACCTTGAGCTCCACTCACAATCTATATTCCTACCTACGTTCTTTCTGTCAACTTTTATAGAACTTCAGGATTACACCAGACAATTATAAGGTCTTGTATCCTGCACAAGACTGCAAGATCTAGGACAGTGGCGATGTCTTTTTTATTTTGCATTTGCTGAAGGAACGAAAATGTTGAGATCAGCAGAGTAAATAAGTAATTCAAGGGCAGGAAAGTGTTGGAGAGCTTATCAATGTGTTATACAGATTTTTCGTCATTACCTCCAGGATAGGTGGAAAGTCTTCACTGTTGAACGCATCCATCAATCCTGAACTGTTCTGGTAAGAAGAATTCCCCACCAGCTCCACTTGAATTTGTACTGGATCAACAATCGAAAGAGCTGTGTCGTGTTCATTCCCCAGTCGGCATGAAAACACCTAGAGAACGAAACGCAATACAGCAAGAACTCATGTCTGATTTAGAAAGAGTCTAACGATCGGCAGAAAGAGAGACTATCTCAGAAGCAATGGGCTCTATATTATCACAAGACCTCTAACAGCTGCTGAAATAAATATTGTGAAGAGTGAGGCTGGTGCTCTCACCCACTGACAAGAGCAGGCACGTGGTTCACCGCAGGAGAGAAAGCCAGTTAGGCAAACAGAACAGAAGACTTAGAAGTCTCACACCCCTAGATCCAAAAACCCTGCCTCTTTCTAGAAAATGGCTTAAGGAAATAATGCAAAATATAGAAAAATTCACTGAACCATTATTTAATAGTTAATGAAAACAATTAAGGGCAAACCAAGGTAATATGTATATCCACTCAATGGAGTATTTTGCTGCCATTTAAAAGTGATAGTTAAAATGACTATACGGAACGTAGGAAGATATGTGAAAAAGCAGCTCATTCAAATTAATACCACGGCCCAACTTTAAGGAAAGAAATATATCAAAAAGTCACTAGAGATTACATGCACATGTGGAGGGATAGGTGCTTTTTCCCTTTCCTTCCCCAATTTTATGTACTATAGTTACTTTCATAATTGAAAATAAATAGATTAATTACTGCAGCTGAGTAAGAGGTACATTGGGGTTCATTATACTATTCTGTTTACTTTGTCCAAGTTTGAAATGTTCTATAATAAAAAGTTTTAAAACAAATATATTTTATTTATGAGGAGAAGAGAAAAGAAGGGAGGGAGGACTCCTATTCTAGGACCAAATTATTCTGCATGCTCTAGAAGAATACAGAAGAAAGCATTCATTTTGGTCTCCCTTGCTCCTCCCCCCCCAACCCTTTTTTCTTTCTTTCTTTTTTTTTGGGGGGGTGGGCATTTTCTAGTGTTATTGAAAAACATGTGCCACCAAGATCCTTCACTTTATCTAAAATTAACTCATTTTGCTTTCTTTATAAGTTCTCCCCCAATGATGTATCAAGGAGGTATTAAAATTCAGGTCCAATTGTGCAGCCTAAAGAACAAGATTGAAAGGAGTTTCTAGGAATCTCAAATATTTTGCCATGTAGTTTTTCTAAGACTTTGAAGCAGGAAAGTTCCATTTTCCTTTTTTCTTCAGGGGTTTCTGCTGCACAAAACCCAATTGTACCTAACAGTTCATTAATCAATCACCAAGATTTTCCATTCAAAGCTGGTATTGTGGTGGCCTGGAAAGCAGATGAATTGCAATTTCAGATCAACTCACATCACACCAGCATGTAAATCCTTCCTCTCAAACTGAGGTTTCTTTACATGAGAGAAACAAGCAGGCAAGAAGTGAAATCTCTACAGGTTTTAATGTGTTGCCTCTGACCAGAAGAAACATACCGTAAGCGGTTGACAGCGAAAAAAGAAGTTCTGCTCACTCAACCTCTGAACAATACCACTGGAAAGAGCAGGGCATGAAAAGTTCAAATGTAAAGAGAAAGGAAACGATAAGTAACCCTGACCAAATATTCTAATATTATCACAAGAGGAATGTTAGCTGAGATCCGTGAATTAAGGACATTTGATAGAGATAATAATCTGCCTCATTTCTCCTTCTGTCTCCACAACCCCTGGCTTACAAAGAGCCAAAGCAATTTTTGTTTACTATTGTACAATGTAATTTTCAGGCTACCAAGGCCACTCCAGCGTCAATTATCTCCTTCAGGAGATGCAATCGGGGCCTAGAGCACCACTCGCCAAGATTCATTCCCTTAGGTAGGCATGACTTCCTGGAGCTGCCCCTTCACAGGTCAGATAGTCCTAAAGGAAGACACATAAAATCCTCATCACCGTCTACAAACAAGCCCTGTGACTACAAAGCCCTCGGTCTTCACAGGGACCAGCTGTCACGGTGGGGGAGGGAGATGCAGGGGAAACAAGCACTTCCTCACCTTGGCACATTTGCCAGGGACAGACCAGAACTGCAGGACACAGCAAGGAGCCTGACGGGGTAATGAGGACAAGGAGAGTCTCCCTGAACTTCTCGAGGAATGGAGGGGGTAAGAGAGCGCAGTCAAGTCCCTCTGCACATTTTACAGCCTGACGTTGGAGGACTCGATCCGCATATTAGAATACCCTCACAGATTTGAGGAGGAAATAAAGACAACAGGGCAGGAGTCCTCCAGTTCCATTGACTCTTTCCCCTAACGAAAGTTTAGGGGGTACAATTCTCTTCCAGCTGCTTTTCTCTTGAGCCAAACATGTAGTATTTTGATTGACACAAAGGTTTCTTACCTCGATGCCAAACAGACTTCCTGAAAAGGGGCGATCGACGAACCGGGGCTTGTAGGTGAGCACTGTGGTGCCTTTGAGAATAATGGCATTGGTATCGAAGCAGGAAACATCTTCCACGACCACAAACTCCGTGCCTGCAAAGGACGGCATTGTCAGCCAAGCCAGAGCTGGGAAGCTGGAGAGCACCAGGATGTCGCAAACCAGGCAGCTCGCTTCCACTGGGGGGACATTAACCAGTGAGATTTGTTCTCCAGGATGTCTGTCAACATTCTCCCTCACTGTCATCCTGAACAAACCCCCTGAATTTGGCCAGGCACAGCTGAGCCAGCAGAGCCCCGCACAGGCAGCGAAGGCTGGAGTGCACTCTCCTAACAATATGTTTAATCTAGGTCTCCTGGGAGGACTGACAGGTATCCAGAAGCTCCGGAAGTCATCCCTTCTCCAAACGATGCCCTGCTTTAAAATCCCAGGAAGGAGATTCAGGTAGGAATGTCGGTCAGGCTGCGTAAGACACTACATCATTTACGTAGCTGTCCAAGCTGCTTTCAAAGAATGTAGACCAATCTAATGTAGATTTTTGAAATTAGTACCTGCAGTTCCCTACTCATTTGTACATGGCAGATTTACTTTGCTTTACACACTGTGTGTTTTCATCAAAAAACCATGTATACATTGATCCTTCAAAACAAAATCAATTTAAAATGCATCGTGCTACCTGCTTCCAAGACACTGAACAGTACATAGGGAATATCACAAAGATAACAATAAATACACAAATATGACCAGATGAACCAGAAGAGTTCGCAAGTTGACAAAAACCATAATAAATCTGTTTGCAAAGGAAAATATTCTTTTTTTTTTTAAATTGGGGAATTGAGGGATAGGAACAGCACTGGGGAACTGGGGGAAGGGGAACAGACAAGTTGCTGTCCTTTTGTTGTTCGGTCTAGTTGTGAAGGACGCTGCTTCACTGGCCCAAGTTGGCACCATCATTGTGCTCTTCCCGGGCGAGGCAGATCAGTCGCCGGCTTCTGGACGGCCGCTCACGCTGGCTGCTGGCTACACACAGTAGCCCATGGCAACCCACTGCAGCAGGGGCTGCAGCCTACGCCGTCGCTGGCGCCTCACAGCAGCCCAGCTCCAGGTTGAGCTGTTGTTCAGCATCTTAGCTGTAGAGGGCAGTGTCACTGGCCCTCATATGTGGGATCCGAACCGGGGCCCTCTGGCGTCCCAAGTCAACTCTTAACCAATGCGCCACTCGGTCAGCCCAGAAAATATTCTTTTTGTAAAGAAAATAACAATCCCCTCACTTATGTACCTTCTAAACTGAAATTGTCACATGCCAAATTCACCCAAACTCAGTAAGGCACATCTGTTGGGGCCCTAAAGATTAAACAGAAAATTGAGGCCTGATTTAGCACTGGGAAAGAAGACCAGAGACTAGGTGGTACTCAGACTGTGCATGTTCATTAAGCAGGCAGAGGATAGGAATAGGAATGAGATACCCTGCAGCCATCAGATGTGTGGCCCAAGTAGTTCACACCTAAACCCAAAGTTAGGAACTTCGATGCTTGTTGGTCTGTAAAAGATTCAAATGTACAAGGGCTCTTGTCAAAAAATGAAAGGCAATAGAAAAGTTATCCTCCAAGACACATATGGAGCCTAACACTCGGACTAAGAACCAATGACTCACACCTCCACATACTCACCTGTCACATTGATCTTGACCTCCAGGTGCCTTTCAGTGGACACAGGAAGGGAAGACCGCTTGGTAACTACTCCACTCTTCACAGTTTTGGGAACTACAGCAGATTCACTGCTAGAGTTACGGTGGCGAGAAGGAGTAACATTAGTTTGTTTCTTAATATCACTGGGAGTGTGGAGAAAATCGTGGACTAACAGCAGCCAGTCAAATATGAGAAACACACGGAGGTTGTTGAGAACTACCGTGAAACAGGAGGAATCCTTTGTAGATCTACAAGAAAGAAGACCAAAAAAGTAAAATAGGAAAGGAGAAACAAGATATTTCACTAACTTGCAAATATATTACTCACTTTTGGCAGGTGGTATTCCACCATTTTCTAAACTGACAGCTTTGAGTATCAATAAACTCTGAACACTGGTTTAATAAAACATTCAATATGTTTTCAAAAGTTAATCATATTTTTAAGCAAGAAGTAATATGCTATAAGAACGCAGTGTAGTGCAGCCCAGTGGTTCTCAACCACTTTTTGTCCCCTAGGAGACATTTGACAATGTCTGGAGACAATTTTGATTGACACAACTGGGAGATTCCTATTGGCATGTAGTGGGTAGAGGCCAGGGATGCTGCTAACAGCCCACGATGCCCAGGACAGTCTCCACAAGAAATTATCTGACCCCAAAATGTCAACAGTGCTGAGGTTGAGAAATCACGTGATAGTACAAAGAGCACAGGCTTAAATCCTGTCACGAGTTGTATTATCGCGGGTAAGTTGCCCACCTTCTCTGAGCCTGTTTTCTCCCTTATAAAATGGGAATTATTACTACTATAAGAGATAAAGCACTAGGCACAGAATCAGGGCTTGGTAAGTGTCAGTTCCCTTCCCTACAGGCTATTTCAATCTGATGGCAGAGCCACTCTTTCTTTGATGACTAGGATAACTTTATACTAGATGGGTTCTCCAGCTGGAATTGACCTGAGAATCCAGATCTTTTAGCTTCAGGAAGAGGACAAATAAGATGACATTTACTGTGGGTATAACCCAAGCACCCCAGAAAGGGAGTTGGGGCAGGGGAGAAAGAGAATGTTTGTTTTGCAGCCCCCATTACCTCAAATTCTATATTTGAGGTGAAGACTCAAGGAGGACTCTCAGCCTGGCCTCAAACCATGGGGTGGTCAGGGGCTTATCAGACCTTATTAGTACACAGGAGGCAGAGAAGGGAGGACAGACTAAAAATGGGCTAGAGACACCACTGTAGGGTTTTCTGGGTTGAACTCTGCTCTCTGAACCCAAAGTGACTCTGGGGCTGTAGCGACTATGAGTACCTGACTCCTTGTCCTGAAAGGTCTCCTATTCTGGAAAAGCTGATTTGGAGACATTTGTAAGGCTGGCTTTGCTAGTCTCGTATTTCTCCTAAACCTGGCTCACTGCCTCTAGGAAAAGGGCACAATGATGTATGTCTCCTTCATACAGACACAGCATTTTTCACAGAAACACTTTACCCTTTTGTAATAGAGAAAAAATGTTGCCCTCAGTAAAATTTTTCCACCCCGTTTTGAACATAGATCGTCAGAGCTATGCACTAACTGGAAAGGCAAAGTGTGTCTGATCTCTTTTCTGGAAAATATTTCAAGCCTTTAAACACTGTGAAGTGATTTATATTTGACACACAAAATCCCAACAGAAGAGCAATTCTTCTTGAGACACATAAAGCGTTCAAAAGTTCCAATGAAGAGAACATTTTAACCCTCTCACTAACAATGGTACTTTTGTTAGCAAGAGCCAAGGTAAGACTTTATTATTTGACTCCAAGAAATTATATACCTTTAGTATATAAATAGAATAGTATTTCAAGGCTGCTTATGATTTAAAAACAAGATAGGTGGAATGACTAGCTGATAGTTTACAAAGCCAGGTCAATAATAATAATAAAGCAAATCCAAAAAGAAACTGTTTCTGCAGATGGACCAAATATATGCAAGCCTCCTGTTCAAATAAACATCATCTTCAAACAAAGGAGCCGCAAAGCCCAGCCAGCCTGACTGCCATGAGTCCGATCACTAGAAACATGGCAGGCCTGCAGACGGTTAGAAAGGACTGGGCTTTGGGATCAGAGGCCCAAGTCTGAGTTCTGACTACTTCACTTACGAGCTGTGTGACCTTAGAAGAGGTACTTAACCCCCTCCAACCTTCTATTTCTGCATCTGTAAAACAGGGAGGAAGTCACCCACTTTGCAGACTTATTGTGAGAATTAAATTAAAGGTAGGCACAGTGCTTGGCTCACGGTAGGGCTCAGTAAGAGGCAACTAGCACTCCTATTACTGAGCTTTTACAAATTTCTTACACCTGAAGCTGAATAATAATGAATGTCAACTGTAATGAAATATATATGTAGTCACAGGATGTGGAGTACAGCATAGAGTCAATGGAATTGTAACAGCTATATACAATATCAGACGGGTGGTAGACTTGGGAGGAGTTATCACTTTGTGAGGGGAGTAAATCTCTATTACATTGTTTTGTACACCTGAAACTAAAAAAAAAAAAAAAAAAAGTTTACATGTCTACTTTGCTAGGCTTCCGAAGGCATACGGAGAGACCTCTCCCTAAAAAATATCTCAACCCTGAGAAATTCACTGAACAGCACACTGAAATGTCAGCTATACTTAAACATATACGTATGGGAAAAATCTTGATGCTTTTTCTTTTTTTGCCTAACCAGGTGTTACCCAGGCTTTTCACTTACTGGTCTATATTCACAACATAGCTGAGGATGCTAGGCACTAATAGAATGAAATGGGCATCGGTTCCAAAGGCCTCCTTTTGGATTTGCGCTGGAGGGTTTCTTTAGATCAGATCTCATTTTTTAGTTTTCAGGTCAATGCTCACTTAGGCATCAAGTCTTATAGCAGTATATCACAAAGTAACACAAGCTACATCAGGAATAATGTAGCCAAGCAGTACGCCAGAATTATTTAATTACTACCCATACCTTATGAGGTAGGTACAGTTATTCTTCTCTATTTGTAGGTACAGTTATTCTTCTCTATTTTATAGAAGAAAGAAATGCAGCTCAAAGAGATTAAACAACTTGTCCCAGGACACACAGCTAGAAAGCGGTAGATTGAGGTTTTGTACCCAGGTCTGTATGATTCCAAAATAGACATGCACTTTCCACAGACAATACTGCCTCCCATAATACCCAGAAGAAAAACATAATCCAGTTCAAAGAGACTAAGGCTCTTTTCACATGGGGAAGTGAAAAGTCAGCAAGACTTGCATAGATAAATTAAATTAGTAATGCAAGTCAAAACCACCTTCCCTTCTGTTATTTCTATAGACAAAAGTCTTCTTTTTTCCTTAAACAAGCACATTTCTTCCTTCCCCAAGTTGCTTTATACACTAAAAAAGTCTACAGACTTACTTACAGGCAGGTTGATTTCAAGAATCTGGCTTAAATCTAAACTTTTTCTTTTTAAGCAACAGAGACATCTTTTGGCCAAGGAATGAAACTGCAAGGTTACAGGAAGACTACGTTAATACCCAGCATACTGCACTGATAGGCCATCATCTAGTTATCTTTTCAGTGGTTTCTGCATCCTTTGATGCTCCAGGGCCGACATGGCCATGGACCACTGGCCACAAAAGGAGATACATCAATAAAGACAGGCAGAGCCGGGTCTGGATCTGCTACCTGAAGTGCAGTTCAATCTGAATGGATCCTTGGGTCGTGCTGCTGTTCTTGGAGGGCTGAAAGATACAACTGAATACGTTTGTCACGCCAGGGCTGGTCTTCTGCCCAGCGTAGCGGGTGTCAAAAGCCATCATGGAGTGGGAAACCAGGTTGATGGACTTGGTTTGGTTGGAAAAGGTCTCACAGAGCAGTTTACATTTCTTGAAGTCAAATCTAAAAGGAAGCAAGAAGACAAGATGTTCAACTCTTCTATTTTACAAAATTATGCACGTTCAAAATAAAAGAACAAAATAAGAAATGTGCCTAAGTTCTACGAAGGAGAATAACTTTCATTCTCAGATCTTTTACTGATTTTAACAGACTCCTCAAAATGGATTTCATGTCACTGTGCCCTGTATCTTACTTTGCATTTCCAAAGAGATGATCTTGTCCACAGGGACTTCATGAGGAATCATAATACCACGTATCTGTTATGTCCCTGGTTCACTGGCATGCTCATTTCTCACCTTCTTAGACTTAAGAAGGCTGCATACTTGCAATAATCGCCAAGGGATGTCAAGGGTCCCTTAAGTCCTTCATCTGTCAACACCTGGCCTGCCTGAGGCTTCTCTCTCCAGTCTGCTGATTTTTTAAGTAAGACCCTTATAGCTGAACGGGAACTACCAGAACAAATACCTCTTCACTACAGAGAAATCACGCAACTCCTCCACCACAGGAAATGCATTTGGGACTGCCTTTTATTTATATATATATATAAAATATATGACAGAGAAAGCTGCAATGAGCAACTCCTACTTCCTCTGCACCATCACGACAATCCGTGCAGAAGTACTCCACATTGGGAAAAACTCAGGACATAGGCAGGCACCCAAAAACATTGCTAATAGGCGGTAGCCGGTTAACTCAGTTGGTTTGAGCATGGTGCTGATAACACCAAGGTTGCCGGTTTGATCCCCGTATGGGCCACTGTGAGCTGTGCCCTCCTTAAAACAAAAAATTAAAAAAAAACAATTGCTAGCTAACAAGACAAGGAATCTGGAACCCCAGCTTCACTACAGCATGTTCTCATCAGCTGAGTTAAATACAGACCAGGATGGATTGGCAACGGAAAGACAAAAGAGAAGAGTACTTCTGCAGGGCAATTATTAGCCTGGAAGTCCTGTTTTCAAATGCTGAACCTCTCTTCCAGCTGTATCATCTTAAACTAGTGAAAAACTCTATCTGAAAAACAGGAGCAATGTCTGCATAACCTTAGTGGCTGTAAGATATACATGGGAAGGTTGTCCAGAGTAAACATGCAATGCATTCTTGAAGGTTCTAGACTGGTAATCACAAACTCCTGGTCTACATGACCAAGCAAATGAAATAAATCAGTGCACTGCGAGGTGAGTACATGCCCTTTCGAAAGGTTGCCCAAGGTGGCACTCAGCTTCCAGATGCTTCTAAGTAAAAACATAGGTCCAGTATTGCCAAAGCTTCCGATTTTTCAAAAGAAACTGAAATCCCAACTTTTTATATGAAAAGCCCCAAATTTTAAATGTTGGCCAGTGAGGTCGTCATCTGTGCTGCTCACAGGTGACGTCTGGGTCTCCTGCTGTGCAGACACACAGTAGGACTACTTCCTGACCCCTCTGTGGGTGTGTAGGGCCGTGTCCTGGCCCCAAGGGGTTTGCTGGAGCATTACCTGGCACTCAAGGCCCATTGCTCTAGAGCACCTTTGTTCTCACTGGCTTTGTCAGGGGGTGACTGCTGTAAGCAGAGAGCAGTGCGAGACCCACGAGGCACGAGGAGAAAAGCATCTTCACTCTTTAAGTCCCTGGGGTTTGGAGCGCCTGGCACTACAGCACAGCCTAGGCTAGCTGGATGGATACAGCGATGAATTTAAACTTTTGCAAAGCACTGTGCACACTACAATGAGCTGTGAACCACTCCCCCTGGAATCCCTGCTCTATGCTAAAGCAAAATACACGGGTTATTTGTGTTACTGTTACTGTAATATCGCTGTCACTAGAAAACAACAGTGTTAAAGCCATACCTGGCGAGGGAACCAGCACCTTCTTTTCCCTTTGGATCTTTCAACTCCAGGCTCACATTTACCATATCCACGAGGAAGCACATGCACGTGTACACTTCTCCGCTCAGAACAGTCTGGAAAAGGAAAATGCATATCAGTTCACTGCTGACGATGCCAATGGGGTTACATGTGTCAGGACCTCCACCTTGTCCTTGCAGCTTCTTTGCCCGGGTGAATCAGGCGCATATGCACAGGCCGGCCCATCGGCTGAGGCCAGGAGAGCTGCAGAAGGACGTACGGGCTCACTCACATGAATTCTTGGGTCTTGTAGATCGTAAGGCCGCATGAACTCCTCTATGGGTTCTCCCAGGTTGTTCTCTAACAAGCCACGGATCAGCTTGTATTTGTACAAATCCAGGGAGCAGTGGACTGAGGACAGGTGGCCGTGCACAGACATGTCTGGAACGGCATGACTTATTTCTCTACAAGAAAAAAAGGGCACTTTCACCAACAAATCACTAACTTAGTATTGACACAGCTCACACCCAAACGTAAGAGCTACCATGTCCCCACTCACATTTCCAGCCTGTTATTCTCTAACTTCCAATGACAAAAACTGCATGTGGCTCCAAATGAAGCAAGTTCGTACGACTGAGTGTCATGCTTCAACTACAGAGAGCTCCTTTTCTCCCAAAATGCAGTGACAAAAATCCCCAAATCTGCGCTAAGTAATCTACTAATAAGGAAAAATCTCACGAGACTCATAAATAATTTAAACATTACAGGTGGAAAAGAAGACAAGCTCTTTATTTAACGCTTCAGTTTTGATGATAACTAAAGGAAGACATCAGTGTTTCATACTGAGCCCAGAGGGACATCAGGACAAAATCTGAATTGGTCTCTTAGCTCAGCTGAGATGGGCAGGAGTCAAGTCGAAGGAGCTCTGGTTGAGGAAATAATACACCTCATCCCCACCCTGAAGACCTTTTTCTCTACCCTCCCAGGGATGAAGTGGTGGGCCTCATGGGTCCTGCAGACACTATGCTCTGAGGATATAAAATAGAGGGTTAGAATTTGAAGTTGAAGAGGAATATAAAAAATAACTTTGTACAGAAAAACCTATATGCAATAAAGTAAAAAGAGACCGGTGATGCAATCAGCAAAGAAAAACTGGAGAGGATTACCACGTACCCTCCCGGGTTCTTGTTTGTGTGGTGTGAAAAGCTGACAGGACACCTTATGTTCAGTTATCACCTTCTATCTGGCCTAACATAGTATCATTACCTGCCCATAAACACTGATGGAAGTGGGTAAAGTTTACATAAGCAGAGTAGCAAAGCACATTTTTTGGGGGGAAGCATTACTTGAAAAGAAAACAAAGTGTTCAATTTCTAAATAATGAAGCTCCTCTTAAGTCCGCTAAGCCAGTAAAACCAAATACAGGCCATGCCAACCATAACTGAACGCCAGCCAGGGAGCCAGCCCTTCAATAACAAGTTGAGAACGAAATGCAAAAGTCTCAGTGAGAGCAGCTAAACTGCATCATTAATCCAGACAGAAACGAAAAAGTGACCTTCAAGGACTCACCCAAGCCCAAGGAGTGCAAAGGGAGTGGCCAAAGAGGGATTCAAATCATGCTCCATATAAGCAATGAGACTGCTTTTCAAAATGCTACAAATAAAACCTCTTTCATGACTTTACAGCCACATCTTGTCTTTCCCTGGAGTTAAGATGCAAAAGTTGCTGCTTTCCCCGACATTAATGTCCCGAACTGAAAGACATCACACACTGTACCGGGCAGTTTCCCGTCAATGCACAAGACCTGCGAGCATAAACACCACCAGGGGACCTGTTAATACACAATCGAGGCTCGGCCCTGATGTCAGCTTCTGGTGGTCTCAGGTAGCATCTGGGAAGGTTTCCCAGCCAGGTATAGAATAACAACTGAAGCAATGCTCAAAACTACAGAAAGAAGCATCCTGTGCTTTGAGGCAATTAAAAGGTAAATAGAGTCAACTTTGTGGAGCACTCTGAGATTGCTTAATGGAGTGAAATGAGCAAAACTGTTATTCTGATTAAACGGAGCTCCAGGGAAAACGATACCCCGTCCAGAATCTATTGTATTTGGAACAAATAATCTAAGTGTGCCCTTGTCCAAAATGTTAAATTTATGTCCCCTCCTTTTGTTTCTGAGGCACCTGCTGTGATCCTAAGTTTCTAACACTAAAGTAGAATCATCTACGAGCCTTGCTATATCCCTCAGCAAACTGTAAGTGTTGTGAGGGCAGAAGGTTTTTCTTTCATTACAGTAGCTCTCGTGTCTACCACATAGTAAGGATTCAATGAACATTTGTTATACAGATGAAGAAAGAAGGGAATGCCTGTTCTCTTTTCGACTTACCTAATAGCACTGATTTCCACGTTAAGATTCTATTTATGACAGCTATTCAGAGAGAAAACACTCACTTGTCCAAATTCCTCTCCACCTGCAATTTCAGCCGACAGGGCTCAGTCAGGAGGCTGCCCCCCGTCTGTCGCACCAAATAGGACGGGAAGATCAGATCGCCACTGTTGTCATCTGAGGCCTTAGAATACTCTCGTGGACGTCTCTCTGCAGCAAAGATGTCCATGTCTTGCAGATCCACGACAATGCAATCCAGCAGACACACGTGCTCGTCTACACAGACCCAAGGAAAGAGAGAATGAAGAAAACGGGGCCCAGAAAGGGCTGGCCCTGAACAAAAGCACAAAGCCAAAAAGGAAGTTCATTCTGCCTTGGGAATATGTTTAGAACTGCCTGCCTCAGACAACTGGGGTCCGGAAGTCTCCAAGCTGGCACTGAGACCTCCCTCCCCAAAGCCCCATGTGCCAGATGCTTCCTGCCTGCGCCTTCCCGTCAAGTGTACATTGTGCCACATTCCCTCAGTGTCCCGCGACACTACCTGAGGCTAACGGATTTATGAGTAAACTGACTTAACATGCATCCCTCCCCAGCATATCCAACAGGGGTCTTGTGTAGGGACAACGTTACCCAAAGGTAACAAAATCTTCCAGCAGCAAAATCTTTTTCAAACAAACACTTATCACATGCAACCATTTCTACCACCCCTGATCTAATCCAACCCACTTTCATTCTTGCCTAGGCTACCATAAACTCCGCTCCAATATACCAACAAATACCCTTCTGGCCCTCACAAAACCATTCTGCCCACAAAATGCCAGAGTAATCCTTTAAAAGAAAGAAAAAAAGAAAGAAAGAGAGAGAGAGAGAGGCAGGGAGGCAGGGAGGGTGGGAGGAAGGAGACCATAACATTCTCTTTTGTGCACTTCAATGGCTACGTTTAATCCAAAGGTCTTTCTGTAAATCCCTGTAAGACCCTGCGTAAGCCCACTGCCTACTTTTCCAACCTCATCTTAAGCCTTCTCACGAAGCCTCAGGCTCACTAGCCTTTGTTTCCCCCAAAATGCCAAGCTCTTTGCTGTCTGAACAGCCTTGCCTATGGTGTCGCCCTCCCATCTCAGTCTCAACTGGGTCCTCTCTGTTCTTTTCGTCCAACACCATTTTTGTCTTTCCTATAACATTTCTCTTAATCTGTCAATATTTAGATACTTATTTAAGGTCTTTCTCATATTATTCACATGGTGGCAGGAACCATCTAACAGCGTGTTCACATACAGGAGAACAAAATATTTTAACACCTGGCATTACGCGAGCACGAAATAAACTAGTTCTTAATTGTTCTGACTATGTTGATATCTCTGTGAAACAGATAAAAGTACAGCTGATCTGAAAGAAGAGGGTTGAGAGCAAGAATGAAGGGCTTCAGAGATTCCTTAGGATCATCACAGAATTCCAGGAATACACAGAAGCAGTATGAAAACCACCACCTTAATCCGGTCTTACTCACAAACAGAGGAATTCCAGAAACAAACAGCAAATCAGGAGGAGAAATATTGTTAGGAAAGAGATCTTTCTATAAAACATTGCAAATCACTTCTTAGAGGCATCCAACCTACATGTAAAGCTGGCCTTCTCCCCAGCCATCGCTGTCATGGTAAGGACAACATGCATGAGTGGTACCATGTGTGCACCCCACTCCAGGCCCCATATAGACTGGCAGGCACCATTATGTGAGTTAAGAATTCAGCTCAGAGTCCAACTCTACCATTTACTACCTACCTAACTGTAGGCAAGTTAAAGTTACTTAAAACCTCTCTTAGCCTTTGTCTCATCTGTAAAACGGGGATTAAAAAAAACAAACTCCATTGGGGTGTTATGAGGATGAAATGCAATAATTTATGTAGAGAACGTGCCACACTGTCTGGCATATAGTAAGTGTTCAACAACCACCATTATGGTGATGATTGTATGAGAGTCACTCGTCAACATGACCAATACACCACCTTCCTGTCTCCTCTTAGGACTACGGGGAGGCACTGCGGGGAGTTCACTGCCTCACATCTACCTAACAAGCTATCCAGCAGCCTCCTTCAGTCCGTGTCCCTCGTCTCCCCAAGTCCAATCACAATGAACTGATTTCTGTGGCTAATCATAAGCTGCTTCCCCTCCAGCTCCTTGGAGCAGCACCTCACTCATCCAATTCATCCCCCAAACAGAACCCATTTGAAAACGATAAGGCCCAAATTAGGATCCCACTTGGAATGACTAATTCTATATTCTAGAGGACAAAAATTACTTGATGGTTCGGGTCTTTTGAGTATTTCTGTTAGCTAGCTCACACTGATGTTTTTTAAAAGAATTCTTTTGGGGCAGGCCGAGTGGCTCAGTTGGTTAAGAGCTCGCTCAAGAAATAGCGGTTCGAGTCCCGGCCTGAGCTGAGCTGCCAACAACAGGCGGCAGGATGGCTCAGCTATTAAAAAAAAAAAGTTTTTTTTCTTTTTTAGCATTAAATAGTGACTTGCAAGGATGAGTCTAAGGATGCAGGAATCATTCTAGTTATAATATCACCATCTGGTGGCAACTATGCTGACCTATAAGGAAAAAGTCCTACATCGACAACCTAAATCTCTGATTTTTCTATTTTTATAAATTACAGAAGACAGGGGCCGGCCGAGTGACTCGTTGGTTAAGAGTTGGCTTGGGAGTAAAAAGTATAACTATTGCACTGTGTTGTACAGCTGAAACTAATTCTAAAAAATGTGTATTTCATAATAAAAAATAATTAAAAAAAAAAAAAAGAGTTGGCTTGGGAGCGTGAGCTCTGAGCAGCAGGGCCGCCAGTTCAGATCCCACATGGGCCAGTGACACTGCACCCTCTACAGCTAAGATGGTGAACAACAGCTTGACCTGAAGCTGGGCTGCCTTGAGTTGCCGGCGACGGTGTAGGCTGCAGCCCGCAGCCCCTGCTGCAGTGGGCCGCCGTGAGCTACCGTGAGTGGCCGGCAAGCCAGCGTGAGCAGCCGCAGCCAGCATGAGCTGCCAAGAGCTGCTGTGAGTGGCCGTCCAATGGCCAGCAACCGATAAGCCTCGCCCGAGAAGAGCACAATGATAATACCAACATGGGCCAGGGAAGCAACGTCCTCCACAACTAGACTGAAGAACAAAAGGACAGCAATTTGTCTGTTCCCCTTCCCCGATTCCCCAACGCTGTTCCCACCCCCAATTCCCCAATAAAATCTTAAAAAAAAAAAAATTACAGAAGACCTTCAATATTATTTTATACTAGTTTCAGGTGTACTGCATAGTGGTTAGACATTTATATAATTTATGAAGTGATCCCCAATAAATGTAGTACCCATCTGACACTATACTTAGTTTTTACCATATTATTGACTATATTCCCATACTGTACTGTACATCCCCATGACTATTTTGTAATGACCCATTTGTACTTTTAATCCCTTCACCTTTCTCACCCAGCCGCCAACCCACCTCTCATCTAGTAACCATCAGTCTGTTCTCTGTATCTATAGATGTGTTTCTGTTTTGTTTGTTTACTTTGTTAGAGTTCACATATAAGTGAGATCACATACATGTATTTGTCTTTCTCTGACTTATTTCACTAAGCATAACACCCTCTACTCTATCCATGTTGTTGCACCTAAATCTCTTTATTTACACTGTGTCTTGCTAATTAAACCCACTTCAGAAGTCACCCAATGCTAAATCCTCATCCTAAATTTCTCAAGCCTACTAAAGCAACATCAAAATCAGACTACAACTGAGGACAGGCTAGCACTGTCGCAAAAATGTCGGCATCTGTTTGGACAGGGTGCCTCCCCACTGAGGCTCCTGCAACTGTCTCACAAATCTCCCCACCTTCATCATGCAGCCCTTGTCTCCTCTTTTACCTGGACTACTGGAAACCTGGCCGACAGAGGGTGTGGCTTGTTGCCCTTGCTGCTTGGTTGAAGTACTGGGCACAAACTCACTCTTCAGGCTGCCTAGACTCATTCCAACAGGAGGCATCACGAACAGCCCCTCCGAATGGGTCCCCTTTGGGTCCTCCGTGCTTGTCATTTTCCTCAGACTGTGTTTGGGAGTCCCCACTGGAGAAGCTGAAGGCACAGATTCCTGGAAAGAAACAAAATAAAACTAGAAAGCGAGAATGATGTCTTTACTATCTTGGAAGTTCCACCCCAGTCCTTGGGCTGTTCAAAGACTCTATGACACTTGGCACTGTCCATGCCTCTCATATCCCATACACAGAAGGGTAAAGGGGACCATGACATTTAGACCACATTTAATTATTTGCAGAGGTGTTACTAAAATTCAATACCTGTTGAAAACTGTGGCAGTTTTGCAGGGAGATATTATCATCTGTCTTAAGAGTAAATGTCAAGATGCTAATTGCCACTGGTTTAACTAGGTAAAACGCAGTAAGTGCAAATCTCTCAGCCATATGATATGTTGTTGCATTGCTAGAGGGGAGGGGCTTATTGTTCTAAGAAAATGTATCTAGCAGCAATATGGTTCCAATGGAAGTAAGCCATAGGTAATGTTTGCACTTTCTAGAAGTCTCCCCCCATGGATGTACATTTCTCCTCTCTCAGTAACTACAAATGAAAACAAAATAGAAAATATAGGCGGTTAGCCACTCCTATTATGTTTTGCTCAAGGACATAAAAATTAAGGGTTAATCCAGAGTAAAACAAATTCTATAATTCTATTGAAAATACTACACACTTCTCTTATATACTTAGTACCTTCAGTTAATTGCTAACAGGGGTAAATCTTTTTCACTAGAATGATCTCATAACTGCCTTTAGAACTTCCCATGGTTTCTTCACCCAAGTCTCAGAGCTCTCCATCTGTGTGGCTTCTGCGTCACCATCTACACATTCTCAGGGGCAAACTACCATAGTACTGCCTTATGTTTATTCCTCTCATCATTGGAAAAGGAGATAACAGTCTCTCCTTCAGTTATCTTGGGTAGTAATTACATGTCGCAGTGAAAGAAACCAGTTCTTACTTTCCGACATTTTTTCTTACAAGGCAAATTACAAGGTAAATGCTATTATTTAAGTATTTCAACATGAAGAACCTTTCCTCTAGCTTAGTTTATTTAAACTCTAGAGTATTTGTTGCTCTTTCATTTGATTCAGCTCTACATCCTCTCTGCAGTTGCTTTAAATAAATCAATGGCTTGAGGAGATTAACTCAAAGCTTTTGAACGACTGACTAGAAATTATGATTTAAGTACAAGGCATGATTGAGAAAAATGAAAGGAAAAGCATATGTAAAACAATTCAAACCTACACTCATTAAGACATGGATTTATGTAAAACAATTCTAAACACACAGGAGTCATGAAACTCAAAGGCAAATAACCCCTCTGCAAGCTTTGATTTCAGAATCATTTCCTGTTCTTTAACCACTGGAATGCATTCTAGACAAACCTCACACGTGCAAGTGTATTGAAAGGCAAATGTAAATGAAAAGCGATTTGGGGGAAAGAGATTATTCACTTTACAAAGCCTAGATCAACTGAGCTTGACTGTGCAAGCTTCACAGATATGTTTATCTGATTACAAATACTTTAACAAGCAACACACTCCAAGCAGCCCTTATGGAATTCTACAGAACAACCACTGGTATGTAACAAGATAAAGTTTTTCTAGGATTTAAGGAAATTAGATCACCAACAAAGTACTACCTAGAGCTAAAACAACAAAAAAAAGAAAGAAATTGTTTTTCATGGTCCTTAAAAAGGACTTCTCTACACAGAAGGGAAGTGATTCATAAAAA